TATCCCCAGCCCTATTTTATAGTTTATTTAGAGACAAAGTCTCACTGAGTTGCTTAGTGCCTCACAGTCTCTGAGGTTGGCTTTGAACTTGAGACCCTCCTGCCTCGGCCTCCTGAGATGCTGGGATTACAGGCGTGGGCCACCATGGCTTTTTCTGTTGGCTCTTCTCTGCATCAAGCCCTCAGGCTTGCCGTGAGTAACACAAAAGCTTCAACATTGTGAAACTAGCACATTCTCTCACAACACCTGTCCACGTCCCTCATTCTTGCATCTTCTGATTCAATGTCCCGAACATCATTGCAGTTCCTGAAACCTTCCCACCACCACGCTCAAGCCAAACCCACAGCCCAGAATAGTCCCCCCACACTTCTGCCACTCAAAATCCAAATCAAGCACCAACTCCTGAGTATGAACCCTACTACTGAATAGGTCTCTCCTGCTGAATCAAGAGCCTCCGAGAGTGGAAACTCAAATTTTCCTTGATTTTTCTGAATCCAGAGCAATTAGTCCAGCTCTAGCACACTGTAGGGGTACAGGGGCTATCTGATGGGATGTACTGAACTGATTTGAGTAAAAGGAAATTTGAAAAAAAAAATGTTTTCTTTTCTCTTCTTTTAGACTCAAGGAAAATATGAATTTGCACTAACTGAATATGAATCATACTCAGATTTTGAGCACAATGTCACAGAGAAATCTACTGCAAAATCTTCTTTCAGCCTTGGTTTTAAAATACCTAAAGTAGTTGAACTTAACATTAATGAGCAAAGCAATCAAGGCAAACATTATATTAGCAGAATCAAACAATTTTCTCATACGGTAAGTATCCATTTGTTGCTTTTAAACTTATATGTGTTCCTTTGAAATTTCATGCCCACAGATGTGCCTGCATTCCTCACTACTCCCAGTCCTCACAATCAATGGAATTTCTGTTGTCTTGAAATTCATTAGCAAATAGTTTGGTGGGACATTAATTTTTTAGAAGGGTCAATAAAAGCTTTCTGTAATTCCTTTTTTATGGCTCTTAAAATTTTTATTTCTTTATTTTGTTTTATTTGTTCTTTTTAGATATACATGACAGTAGAGTATATTTTGACATATTATACGTAACTGGAGAATAACTTATTCTAATTAGGATCCCATTTTTGTGGTTGCACATGGTGTGGAGTTACAGTGCTCATTTATTCATATATGAACACAGGACAGTTATGCCCAATTCCTTCTACTGTCTTTTCTATTCTTATCTTCACTCCCTTCCTTTCATTCCCCTTTTGTCTAATCCAGTGAGCTTCTATTCTTACCCTGCCCCCAGTTTATTGTGTGTTAGCATCCATATATCAGAGAAAACATTCAGCCTTTGGTTTGGAGGGATTGGCTTATTTCACTTAGCCTGACAGTCTTCAGTTTCATCCATGTACTGGCAAATGCCATAATTCCATTCTTCTTTATGACTAAGTAATATTCCAATGTGTACACATACCACAGTTTCTTTATCCATTCATCTGTTGAAGGACACCTAGGTTGGTTCCATTGCTTACCTATTGGGAATGGAGCTGCTGTACACATTGATGTGGCTGCATCACTATAGTACACTGATTTTAAGTCTTTGGGGTATAAACTGACGAGTCGAATAATTGAGTCAAATAGTGGTTCCATTCCAAGTTTTCTGAGGAAACTCCATACTGCTTTCCATATTGATTGCACCAATTTGTCATCCCACCAGCAAGGTATGAGTGTATTTTTTCCCCCAGATCCTCACCAACATTTATTGTTCATGTTATATTCTTGATAATTGCCACTTGGACTGGAATGAGATAGTTTTATTGGTTTGAAATAAGGTTTTTCCTCTGGTTTTCAGAAAGCTTAGGATATAGCTTTGCCAGACCAAAATACCTCCAGAGACTTCTTAACCCACTCCACTTTGACTTCTGCCACAGACACTCAGATTGAAATCCATCTCTCTCATATCACCCAAGACTTCTTCTCTAACTTCTCGGGGCCTTGTGGTGACACTGGTGGCACCATTGCTTTCCTCTTTCTCCTGCCTTCTTCCTGCTCCAAGGTCGTCTCTACCTCCTGAGTTTTCAGCCTATGTTAGTGGCATTGTCCCCTGGCACTTTTATAAGATAAGAACTGCAGAATCATACTTGGCCCTCACTTCTGCTTCCTTCCCACATTGGTTGGTCACCCTGTCCTTCAGCACCACTCACTCCTACTACATCTGAGTCAGCCCAGGTCCTTCCATCTCCTGCTCTGCTCCACTAACCCGTCGTCCTGTCTTCCAGTTCATGCCTTCATATGCGTGTGCTGCAGAGAGGTGTTTCCAATGCTGCTTCTAACCCTGTCATCTGTGCCCTGTTGCCCAAAGGTAAAGGGCAAAGCCTGTGATGTCAGAGAAGAGTAAAGGGAGGGGCAGCAGTGAATAGAATGTTGGAGAAGCAGGTGAGGGCAGAATTGAATCTTGAGTTCCAGGGAGAGGAAGGTGCATTTTTATCCCTAGCTGCTGAGAATTTTCAACCTATGCATGATACGATAGGAAAGGAATCAGAGTCGGGGTTGGGGAGAGATCAAAACTGAAAGACCAGAGTGATTCATATGAGAGAAAAAAAATGGTGAGGGGCTGAGTCCCTGCTGCTGAAAGACTAACCAGGAGGAAGTGGATAGTAGGACTATACTAGTTAGACTGTGCGTGCCTTGGCTTCTCGGTCCTCATGTTCCGGGCTGTGCACTTCCTCAAGACAGAGACTGTCAAATGGCACTTAGTATGTGCTCAAGACTGAACTGTAGCAATGAAGGATGGGACTGACTGAAAGGAACTTGCCTCACCAGGAGGGGAGCAGTGGGCGGCCTTCATTGTCCCCCGGCCTCTCTCCTCTTTCTCCCCGCTCACCTCCCTGTTCAAACGGCCAGTTAGAAGATGCTGACGTTGAATGAGGCACTGCATTAGAGACTTGGGACCTAGAGACATATGTCACATGATTTTTTTTCCCCATTTATAACAACATTTTGTAATTTTTTTTAATTGCACATATTTATGGGGTAGAGTGTGATAATTTGGTACAAATATACAATGTGTAATGATCAATTCAGGGCAATTAGCATTTCCATCTCCTCAAAGACGTATGACTCCCACATGACATAAGAGCCTTCTAACTCCCCTCTCCCAGTGCTCCATAGAGATGTGATAAATTTCCCTTGCCTGCGTGCTCAAGGTCAAGTAGAAGAGGCCAACCGCCATGGAGTACGAGTCTCATCCCACGCTAGGTGGGCTTTCACGGAAGTTGAGATTGGGGGAAGCATTTTCAAGCCATCATGAGCAGGATTACTTACATATGATATTTTAAAACAAAAATCTTTGACCTCAAGGATCCATAACATAGGAGGCACCAATCCAAAGTGGAAGAGACCATGGCAGGTCAAATGTCCTTGATGTTTTCTGTGTCAGGCTGTATGCAGCCTTTGCACAAAGTTGTGATTCTGGCAGGGTCTTTGTGGCAGTTTGCTACTATTAGGCAACCATGCATGAGGACACTTCTTTCATAACCTCTCAGTTTCATTTATTTATTTTTTGTTAAGGTTAACACACAATCTGCTCCATTTTGACTCTGACAACTTTTATCAACACATAAAGAGGAGACCCAACCTAAAAAGCTTCCGTAAAGTCATGAACAGAGTACCTATTGATTGCTTGGTAGGCAGGGGAAAGGGAGAAGGATGAGTCCTGAGCCCCTGGCAGGGGTGAGATCAAGCCAGAAAGGGGGATAGCCACAGGCAGGGCTTCAGGGCTGCACAGAGCTGCGGGTTTCAGGATTGGAGCAGAATGGGCCTCACAGATATCTTCTACCCTTGGCCATTTCCTCGGCCTCTCACCCCTGGAGAAGGACCTCTCACCCCAGGTGGTAGGAATACCTCCCAGAAGCTTATCCTCTTTCTGATATCTCCAACTTTCTTTTTCTCCCACACCTCAGTGGACACCGAACTTTTTCTCTAAAGGTCCAGAAAGGAAGTATTTCAGATTTTTCAGGACACTAGGGTCTCGGTGGCAGCTACTCTACTCTGCCATTGTGTGCATAGCAGCTACAGCCAGTACACAAATTCACGGGAATGGCTGTGCTCTAATAAGATTTATTTACAGAAACACACAGCAGATTTGATGCAGGCTGAAGTTTGCCAACTCCTGCACACACTACCATATCCATCCTTCCTAAGACACCATTTTTACTTTTTGTCGTGTTGTTTGGGTTTTTTTTTTTTTAATCTTTTTTTGGAACTGGGGATCAAATCCAGGGCTTTGTGACTGCGAGGCAAATGCTTTGCCACTGAGCTACATCCCAGTCCTATCATTTTTACCTTCTTGGGTGGCTTTTCTTCACACACTTTAAAAGACATAAGCAAACAGAATTTTTTTTTTTTTTTTTTTTTGCAAATTAGCAAACCCTGCTCCCTTCAGAGCAGCCCCCTGTGCCCCAGCTGTGCTCTGCTGCGCCTGCTTCTGGTTACCCATCACAGTCCCAAGGTGCTGCAGTCAGGAGGGGGGTTTAAAGCAAGCTTTCCCAAGCTGGAAAGGATATCAGGATATTCATGAGAATTGAAAAACTTGTCAAAGAGGCCGTCTTCTCTCAAATATCCTAAAGGAATCATAAGAGTGGTGACCCTGGGCTATGAACACCGGCTGGTATCTGTAAAGTTCATCTTCTCGTTCCAGATCCCTAACTTTAAAGGTCTGCTTTTCCCACGTTGGTGTTCCATTTAGAAAAGTAAGTTTCTGCACGCACGCGCTGACCTTGAAGGAGCACATTACAAGCTGAAATCCAGAAACCTCATGCTCCATCATGAATTCCTTCAGCGAGTCAAGCTCCTGCCCCTGGAGTACAGCTACGGGGAATACAGAGACCTCTTCCGCGATTTTGGGACCCACTACATCACAGAGGCCGTGCTCGGGGGCATTTACGAATACACGCTCATTCTGAACCAAGAGGCCATGGAGAGAGCAGGTACACCGCCTGAGGGACTGTGGCTTGCCTGATGGGGCACATGAGTGACAGGTTGATGGGAAGACTCTCATACCGGGGGTTGGGGGAAGATGAGAAGTTGGTCTTCCAGTTTTCCTTCTGCCTATTGGACTACACGGACACTGTCACATTTACAGCTCTCTCCTCCTCTTTGGACTTGTTAATGTCAATCTTTTATATACCCACTCTCTCTGTCTGGACACATCCAGCGTCATGGCTCTAAATACCTTTAACATGCAAATAGCTCCTAATTTATATATTCATCCTGGATCTCTTCCCTGTACCCAACAGCTTATTTTATGTTGAAATGCCTCCTTGGTCTCTCCACTTGAATATCTAACAACCATCACAAACTTAACATGCTCCAAAGAAAACTTGGAATATTCCCCCCACCCAATGTGTTTCTCCACATCTCAGAAGTGTTCCCACCATCCAACCAGTGGCTCAAGCCTAGAGTCAACCTCAATTATTTTTCTTTCCTTCCAATCTCTTAGTAAGTTCTCTCAGCTTTACCTCCAATCCCGTTTTTACTCTTACCACTGTGAACTCACTCTGGGGCCAGGGCTTCACATCCAAAATGTAATGGGCAGGTGAATTATGGACAAATCTTGTGAAAAGTTGGTTCTGATTCTGTAGCTTTGGAGTGAGACCCTGAAACTTTGCAGTTTTAATAAGCTTGAAGATGATTCTGATGCTTACTGCTGGTCCACAGATCACACTTTCAGTAACAAGTTCTCGGATTATCATTATAGTCTCCCGATTAGTATCCAACCCCCATCCCGCCCCTAGAATCCACCTTCTAGGCAGATATCTGACATCTTTCCAACTGGGAATGTCTCCATTTTGAGTCCTGCTTTCCAGTCCAGTATTCAGTCCTACAGTGAAACCCTCATCTGGTTACATAGACTTCCGTGGCAGAGCCAGGGCTTCGTTATAAATCCAGTGTACTTGCAAGAGGACACATGGTATATAACGTAAATTTATGTCAGCACAACCTCCGTCTTGCCAAGATCAGGAGCACCTTCCTCCATCTCAGGGGTTCCAAAACTGTAGGGCAATGTATGATTGGTCTCACTTACGGAGTGTCACCAGTGTCCTGCACTGAAATCACCTCTCTACGAGGTCACACGTATATGACCACAGAAGCACTCTTTCTTGTAACACCTGCTAATGTCGCAGGGGATTCCTGTTTCAGGAATATGCTTTGGACCGATATTGCTAGAAATCCTAGTGGTTAAAGTTGCTCTTGTCTCTGTACCAGCCTCACAGGGCTATTGAAATTGTCTTCAAGTCATATCTGAGATTTCGGCAAGACCAGGAGAGGATGCCTTGGGGAGAATTAGGGGGAAGCAGGCAAGAGTCCAAATATGAAGAAACACAGGGGAGATTGTCCCTTTTTCTTTGCGAAGTACAATATCAGACATTGTAGATGCATTTCTTCAATTTACTAGTAACAAGTTTTTCCTATTTTATTAAATATTAAAGAAGCATGGGTCAGTGAAGGTGGCCAGGCTGCAGCAGCCTCTGTACTCACTGAATCACTTCCTACTGGCCTGATAGAGATGACTCTGAGTTATTCTCTGAAGACAGCAAAAAATCCTGTCTTGGGAGGAGGATGAACCCGAAAGTTGAGGATCTTTATAAAGCCTCTGCTCTGCTACCAGTAGCTGCCTGTATTTCTCGTCATCATGGTGGTAACCCAAGTCCCTGTGACATCTGGGAAGGGTTAGGCCTCTAGAGTCATGACAGGGGAAGGGACAGAGTGAATTACCTCTTAGACCATAGACCTCTTTCCTTGCTTCCTTCAGATTTTTCTCTTAATGATGTCCATGACTGTGCCAAAGAAGATTTCCAGTTTGGTGTAACCATCAAAAAAGTCGACGTGAAACTGGGTATATCAGAAAATAAATGCAACAGGATTCTGAATGAAATCAAAGGTGAGAGACAGGGGCATGGGACTTCCAAGCTTATAATCACTTCCCCCTCCCTGGAGCTCCTGGTCTCAGTCTCCTTTTAAGCTAAGCACTGGCTTGTGAAGGCAGCAAAAATTTCAATTTCAACTGGAATCTACCCAACAAAAATGCACCAAGCTCTTACTGTGTTGCAAGCTGCTTTTGCCAGTTAAACATGCAAAAATGAATTAGATTAAATCCCTATCTCCACAGTTCTCTTAAGAGGTAAGCAATCAACAAAAGTAGTAATGACATGGCTGTATCCAGTGTAGGGTATCAGGGTGGACTTCCTAGAGGAAGATATATCTGCCTGCCTGCTTGCATCTATCATCTGTCTATCATCCATATCCCAATCTAGTACCTACCTATTTGCCTTTTATCTGCCTACCTCCTACCTTACATCCATCTGTTTACCTATCTATTGCCTTCTATCATCCATCTCTCTACCTAGCTATCTTCCATACACTAACTTAGTGATTGGCACTTACAGATGCTCAAGGTAAATGTCCTTTCCTTGTCCTGCCCCCAGCTTGTGTGATCTGTGACTGGGTGAGCTTTCCTTTTGCTCCATACACGATGCCTCCCTTGCAGGCAGGGATGTGTCTTGTTCTCCCACGTCTCCCAAGCAAGCCAGAGAATATCATGGTACCCAAATTGTTCAATGGGCAGCAGTGAATTCAAGGTGTGAAAGTGGCTCCTCTGATGAATTGCCAGCCCTTCCTATCCATTCATTCCAGATAGAAACAAGAGGAACACCATGGTGGAGGACTTGGTGGTCCTTGTACAAGGAGGAGCAAGTGAGTACATCACCACCCTGGCCTACAAGGAGTTGCCGACAGCCGACCTGATGCAGGAGTGGGGAGACGCCATGCAGTACAACCCAGCCATCACAAAAATCAAGGTACACACAGCCACTCTACTCACCCTTGCCTCTATCAGAACACAGCTTCGGAGGGCCCACCATGAACCAGGGCATAGAATGCAGACATGAGATCAATGCAGGCTCTAACTCTTAAGGCACATCCTTGACAGCAGAAATGATATCCAGAAAGAAAAGATTAGAACACATGGCTCAGTACCACCTGGAGACCCCTGGCTCCCTCTTTGGGTCCCTAAGTTGCTAAAGGAAATTAGCAACCAGCTTCTGATTCTACTCTTCTTAAATGAATGTTCTTTCCATTTCATCAAGGAATCACTCATTCAGTCATTTGTTTATTTAAACATTTATCCATTCAACCAACAAACAGTGGCTAAGTTCCACTGTGATAGTTCAGAAAGTGAGAAAGATGCTGGAGGAAAACCCAAGATACCAAGATGGAAAATACAGTCTAGGATGAACAGTAAGATGCACGCATGGACAGCTAGCTTACAGGATAGGATGAGGCATCATGATAGTAACTCACATGTTCAGAGTACCTGCTGGGCACGTGACATTCAGCCAGGGGCTGCAAGGGTATTATTTTCTCTAATTTTTGCAATGGTCTACCAACTAAGTATGTTTATCTACTTTCATGACTGATCAGATCAAGAGAAGGTGTATCCATCCACAGTTGCTCAAGAAGCTCTGCGAGGTTCAGACAGGAGACTTGAACTTGTTCTCTACCAGCTAGAGAACACACGGTATATAATGTGGGCTTAGTGGGGAAAAAAAAGTAATGATCCTAACCAACTATCACTCCAAACAAGAGGAGTCTGACAACCTTAAACTGGAAAGACATTTGTCAGAAAAACACTGTCACACACATCAGCACAGGTACATACTCGCCTGTGGGGACTTCTGCATGGTACCCACAGTGTGTCTGTATAGTTATCGATGGGCCATCGTCCAACCGCTGGAGAGTCCTTTTTTGAGTCAAGGAGGGGGAATGAGAGGCTGGAGCTCTGACAAGAGACTCTGCAGTCCCAGACCTTGGCACTTTTCCCCAGTATTTTCATTTGCATGTCAAATGCACAGTTTTTCTCCAGAACAAAAAGGCTGCCATTCACATCCTCTCCTCTGCACTTGCTCAGCAGTGACCCTGAGGACATAGTTGCTGGTGATCACAGGAAGGATGAAGTCAGCCGTGGGTTACAGGCAGCTCCAGAAAAATCTAGGCTTGACTGATGCCATGGTGACATTGGTTGGCGTCACAGCTGGGCATGGAAAAGCACAGAGAATTTATGGGAAAATAAATCCCTGGTTTTGTTGTTGTTTTGTTTGTTTGTTTGTTTGTTTTAACTGAAATATCTTATCTAAATTAAAAAAAAATTGAACACACAAAGAATGCCCTGGTAACTCAGCGAGGTTGAACATTAGCTGCACACATAGGAGCATCAAGTGTCAAGTGTGCAGTGTGGTGGGGCAGGAGCGGGGGTGGGGAGGTCCGAGATGTTTTCCAGGAGCATTGAGGCAGAGGGGAAGGCAAGGAGATAGAATGTTTCTATGCCCCCACCCCATACCTCCTAACCCATGCTGCAAACATACCCCCAGCTGTGACTTCTTTCATGCACTCTTTTCTGGAAAGAAAAAACTGGGGATGGTTTCACAGTATCTCAAGATCACTCTTCTCTGCAGAGCCTGCTGACCAGGTAGCTGGGGTGATGATTGACTTTCAGGACAGCAGAGCCCACTAGATAAGCATTTCCTAAACACTTGAGCATTGGCTAAGACTTGAGGGCATTCATGAGTCCTTAAGATTAAGATCTGAAACAGGATTTCAGTAGATATCAGATAGACAGGGAAGGAGCCCACAGAAGCACCCATTCACGCTATTTGCTGGTAAACTTCCGGCAGGGAGAGGTGACACCTCATTCAAAGAAGAGTTAAGACCTACGGACATATAAAGAGATTTTTGAACTCAAAGTTTCGAAATTACGTTCAAGATGCAGAAAATGAGCATATGTCTGTAAGGTAGAAAAACAGAAAGAAATTTTTTTTAAATGTGTTGCTTTGTGATGATAATAAAATTCAAGAAAATGAAGAATTTATGAAATAAAAATAGAAACTGAGATGTTTAGACACTAATCAGATGAAAGGAAAGTGGCTGAATGTAGGGAACCAGAAGCACAATAGCAGAATTAAAACCTACATTGGAAACTATAAAGAACAGAATTGACACTGCAGAAAATTGAGTCAGTGATGTGGAAGTGCTATAAAAAAAATGTTCTTATAATGCAGAAACAAAAGACAAAGAGATTAAAACAATGACAGAAAAGAAATATGATGGATGGAGTACAGAAGTGGAAACTGAAAACACAAAGACTCCTGCCTGAGAAAGAGACAAGATTAAATGTGAGGACACATTAATCAGGCACGTAATAGGAGAAATTTCCCTGAGCTGATAATACAAAATGAACAGCTCACTGAAACCTAACTGAAAGTACCGAAAACAGAACGATCCTGAAACCCATCCTGGAGGGATGTTTTACTTTTAGGAACAAATATAATCGACAGGAATCAAAGTCAAATGGTCCTGGAAGAATTTGCAGCAGGAAATGCCTAAAGAGAAGAGAGCACCAACTATTAGGTCTTAGAGGAAAATTTTGTTATTACCCGGTGAAATGGTCTTTAATGGGTGAAGAATTTCAAAGACATTTGAGATAATGAAAGAGTCCCAGAAAGGGGTTGCCAAATCTAGCAAATGGAAAGTACAGGATTATCCAGTTCAATTGGAATTTTGTATAAACTAAGAATAATTTTATTTTAGTGTAAGCATTTCCCAAAGATTACATGGAATATACATATCCCCCCAAATTATTTGTTGTTTATCTGACATTCAAATATAACTGATAATCCTGTATTTAACTGGCAATCCTACTCACAAGGTCTATCATCCATGCACATTTCTGCAGGAGTCAGGGTACCTAGGCTGTGGGCTGGGACCCAGGCTGATACAAAGCCTTTGAAGGAGCATTGGCACACTCAGCGTAGAAGGAAAAAACTAGGATAGTAAACAGTGCTCATATGGAGATCAGGATAGCCTAGATCTTTCTGCAGAGAAATAACCCCCAAATCATAGTTGTTTAGTCCAATAGAAGCTTATTTCTCATCCATGTCATCTCCAAGAAGTGTTGGTTGAGGGACTCTGCTCCAGGTTGTTACTCAGGGATCCAAAATGAGGGGATTTATCTTGTCATGTGCTCCCATGATCACCACAGCAGGGATAGGGGAGAGCAAAAAGTCACCTCCCTCTACTCTGAAAGCTTCTGCTTGGAAGTGACACTCGTCTACCTGCCTTTCACTGGTCAGAACGAGTCACATTGCAAACCTGGCTTTAAGGAGGCAGCCCTACTGTGTGCCAACCTGCCTCTGAAGAACCGTAGCCTCACCAGGTGCCTAGAAGAGAAAGAAGCTGAAATACTCAGTAATGGGTTAAAATGACCATCATATCTTTCTAAAGGAAAATCACTTATAGATTTCTAAAAGCAAATTACTCCAATCAAGAGAAAATTTAAAATACGATACACTAGCACTTGCCTGGTAAAATGATATATCAGATTTTTACTGATAGATCTCACCCCTCAAAATAAATTCTGAATTTCAAACAAGGAAACTATGAGTATAATTGAGTATAATTAAGTGGCAGACAGCATAATAATAATAATAATAATAATAGTAATAATAATACATATTTTGCCATAAATAGAATCCTTAATATGTGAGAAATGATACAGTTTATAAGAAAGAAACATCTCAAAGGAAATGAAACCTGGGTTGGCTGATATGCAAAAGCTAACCTCTTTAATAAATATAAAACCTAAAGTAACAAGTACAATAAATTATTTTTTTAACCTATCAAGTTGACAAAGGTTAAAAGTCTATATTCAAAGCCATTGGGAGTGACAGGGTGGGAATATAATTTGGTCCAACTCTTTAGGAAAAGAACAGAAACAGATACCTCCAAAATATTTTTGTTTTAAAAAAAAAAAAAACCTTTATAGCTTTAGATCCAGTAACCCCAAATGCAAGAATCTACCAAAGAACTAATTTGAAAAGTCGATGAAGATATCAGTAGAAAGACATGTCAGATTTGGTTATTTGTAGTAGCAAAAGGGAAAAGAAAAAAGGAAACATCTCAAAGGCTCAACCATGGAAGAGCTGAATACATTGTGATTCATACAGCGGGAAGCTCTGAAGTCATGAAAAGGCATTTATTTTATCAAAGCCTACTGAATCATGTGGGGAAATGTTCATATTATAGTAAGTGAAAAAAAAAGTGGGATATAAAATTGCACTCGTGCACCGATTAGGTGTAAATATCTGTCATCTACCTGTCGACATAGAATCACTACAGGAAACAGGGCAGGATATTTTAACAGTTCAATTCCTTCCTGCCACTTCCTGGCTATGTGCCTTCCATCAACTACTTAACTTTCTGTGCCTCTGCTTTTTCATCTGGACGATGGGGAAATAGAAGACTACCCACTCCCAGGGTGGTTGTGAAGATTGTTGGCTAGTGTGTGTCAAGTGTTACCCTCAGCAGTTTAGAGATGCTAGCTATGGTAACAGCCATTTGCTATGCATAAGAGAGCCACAGTCCACTCTAGAGAAAGAACTGCATGGAGTAGAGCAGTTACTGACATCATCTCCTTCCAGCAATGGGATAAGTAAAATGTTTGCAAGGCTAGATATGTCAAGGACCCAAGGACCAACGTGAGTATTTAGAATTGAGAGGTGGAGAGGAAAGAGGATGAGGAAAGGAGGGAAAGGGAGAAAGAAAGGAAGGAGGAGAGAAGGAAAAAAAAGCAAAAAGGAACAGTAAATCAAAGAATGGACACACTGCCATAGGAGTTTAAAAAGGAGCTGGGGAATTCTGCGGAGTTGCTAATAAGTTCCAAAACAAACCACAGGAGTCTGCAAGATTTATAAGAACCCTGGGATAGAGATTAGAAGTGGGAATAACTGAGCCCCCCTTTTTTTTTTTTAAATCAATTGTCATCCCAAACAAGCAGGAATGACACAGGCTTTGGATTAGCATCTTCTTGATGCCATTTATGAGTTGTGTGACTTTGATCAAGTTACCTACCCTCGACTGAAAACGGGGCTAATAATTACTGCCATGTGAGCATGGCATGGGTCTGTTTGTCAACCCCCACACGGCCACCGGAGCATGGTGTATGTGGAAGGCCGACTGGGGTTTGGCTGCTGACTTGCCAACTCACTCCCTGGAAGCAGTCTCGGAGTTTGCAGGAAGATACCACGGAGGTGAAGGTGGTCTTCCACGGCACTTGGAAGCAAAGGCAGATTGTTAGAGGAGCTCTTCACAGGTGTAAAACAAGCTTCCCCTTCCTCCCTCCTAGCCCCCAACATGTTCGGCCAGCAGGCTGGACCACTCTGCAAGCAGCTTGTGGATCAATTCATTGACCACAAAACGGTGAGACAATGGGACCACCGAGGGGCTTGCTTTGCCCACTGGAGCGAAGGTCAGCATCGGATGCATTAAGAAATGGAAGCAATTTTCTTCCCACTGGAGGCTTCTATTAAGCATGATTGCCTGCATTTAGACAGACCCTAAGCTCTCCAGGGCTGCTTTAGGGCAGGATCACAAACAAAATCTGGAGAGGAGCCTGGCTCTGGATAGGAGCTGACACTTCAGCCAAGTGGAGTTGAACTCTATGTGCATGTGTGTGCACATGCTAGTGGGAATGGGCCTGTTTTAAACTACGTCTCTGGAATGTTCCTCTTGTCATCTCACCTGTGGCACCATACCCGTCAGTGGCTTCTCCCTCGCACACACTATGAAGTCCGTCCAGGGACCAGCATCTCCTGTTTCTGCCTCTCTGTCTCTGACAGCCGCATGAGCTCCTCCTTGCCCACAACCATCACCCTGTGGAGGCCTCCCATCCCCCTCTCATGCATTGTCCTCACTGAGCTGTGGAGTGGACCCTTAAGACACAGAGCTGAGCAGTGCCTGGCCCTGAACTTTACAAGCTTACAGTCAAGTCACGGCAGAAATCAAGAGGCTTCTGACATTAAAAAAAAAAAAATTAATGACAATAAAGAAGTAGTCAAGCCTGGTGCCTTGGCACATGCCTGTAATCCCAGCAGCTCAGGAGGCTAAGACAGGAGAATTACTAGTTCAAAGGAAGCCTCAGCAACATAAAGAGATGCTAAACAACTTTGTGAGACTCCGGGGTCTCCCTGGGGATGTGGCTTAGTGGTTAAGCGCCTTGGGTTCCATATCTGGTACAAAATTTTTTTAAAAGTTACTTAAAGATGGAATTTGTACCAGATGAGTGTCCCAAGTGTTTAGTGGAGGGAAGGTGCTTGGTGAGTTTTAGAGCTCAGGAGAGGCTTCCTGATTGTGGCTCTGACATGACAGAGATGATTCTGAGAGGTTTGAAGGGAGAGTGATGTGGGGACAATAACTCTAAAATACTGTTAAAGACATGCTAGAAAGTCATCTCCTCACCAAAGACAGATGAACATGCAGTCCTTCCTGTCTCACCTACGCCTCACCACCCATTTCCTGTGAGGTGGCTGTGACCACCACCCAGTACAGATGCTCCTCAACTTACCATGAGGCGATGTCCAGATAAACCCTTCATAAATTACAAATATCCTAGGTCACAGATGCATCTCACATCCCTAACCTGCCGAGCATCGTAGCCTGGCCACACAATGCCATGCAAAGTGTCAAGAGTTTCTCCTCCTGTCCTCAGGGCTGTCTGGAAGCTGGGCTCAGAGCTGCTGTCACCACCGTCCAGGATTACAAAGGAGTTTCTTATGGCAGATGGCCAGTCCAGGAAATGGTCAAAATTCAAAGTACCATTGGTACTGCATATGAATCACTTTCATTGAAAAATTCTAAGTCACAGACCATCTGTAATCACTTATCGGTGTGTTTGGGTTCTGAGTTCCTAGAGAGTGGAGATTATATTATCCAATGCTCAGTGTCTAGCACTTAGTAGGTATCAGTGTTTGTTGGCCAGAATCTGAATGAGATCACATGCACATATTGGGTGACATGGAGGCAGAGAGGGGTTGGGCCTCCATTCAAGTGCTGTAGCATCGGTCCAATTCCACAGGAGTCCACCGGCAATCTCCCTGCCCTGACCCTCTGCCCATTCGTGGGTAGACTTGCTTTGGGCCTCAATGTGATGAATGCCTTCTTTCCAAATAAATGCTTTCCTTCTTCCCAGGCAGAGCCTCTGTATGAGCTGGTGACTGCCACGGATTTTGCCTATTCCAGCACAGTGAGGCAGAACATGAAGCAGGCTCTAGAGGAGTTCCAGAGGGAAGTCAGCTCCTGCCACTGTGCTCCCTGCCAAGGGAATGGAGTCCCTGTCCTGAAAGGTACCTCTTCCAGGCCACCGGGGTCCCTGCTAGAAGCCATCATCTGAAGGAAGCTGGCTTTGGGTCCATTTGCCCACCTCTGTTTCAGAAGAAGTTATAAGGCAGACCACCAGGAGCTACTCCTCTGACCATCAACCTACCTAGGTCCCAGCCTTCAGGGTCACAGTGGGTGACAATAGCATTTAGCTGAAGCCAAAAACAAGGAGTGGCCAAAGACTCAGAGAACCTCCCTTTGTCGAGGAAGAGGGTCTGGGATGAGCAGGAGGAAGCCTCTGTGCATGTTCTGATCAATACATGGCAAGAAGATTGGAAGGCAGCAGCAAAGAGGGCCCAGCAGAAATTGACTGTGGACTCCAGGGTCACGTCTGGGGTTGCTGCAATGGGCCAGGCAAACTTTGAAGGAGAGGTGGGCTGGGAACTTCTGCTCCTGTGGTCATGGGCTGGTCAGACTCTGAGGAAGAGTCCAGTTCAGCACTCCAAACAGGACATGAGGAGCCAGCCCCAGACCAGGGAGCCAAATGGAGTCAGGGCCTAGTGCAGGTGGAAGGAACTAGCCCTGCAGAGAGGGGACTGAGAAGTGCTCTCCAGGAGGAAGATTCCAGTTGTTTCCATTATCTAACTGGCTTTGCAGGATGTTTCTAGTTCTCAGACAGAAAGGATATGAGCAAAGCAGATGTAGTGAGGGGGTCCAGCCTGGGAGTTCTGCCACAGCACATCTGACATGAGCTGACATTTGACCTCCCATGAGAGTCACTTCCACAGGAAGTGGATCAGTTCATCAGCTCAAGGTTTTGATCTGGGGTTGCTGAAATCCTCCTGGCTCTGCACAGTATTAGAATGTAGAAGCATCCTAACCTGAGACTGTAGAGTGGAGGTACCAGAGAATGGCATGTTCCAAGGGCCTGACCTTTGAAGGACAGTCCTGTAAAGGGATTCTGTGGGAGCAGATGAGAGAAGCTCCAAGGGAACAGATTACGGATTAACCTGAGGAGGCACTTCCAAAGTCTCAGAACTGGCTAAAGACAGGGTGAGCCAGGTAAGGGTAGCGAGTTCCCCATCTGTAGGGGTACTCAAGCAGAGGCTGGTGATTCCTTGTGGTAAATGATGATTGGTCTCCATGAGGACTTCTGATCCTAAAGCCTCATAGACATGGGTCAAATGTCAGCTAAGGAGTACTTTTCCTCACCAACCCCATGTACCTCCCCATGATGACTCTTCACATCCTTTATGACCAAAGGGCCCTCCAGGAAGGAGCAGGTATTCTTGCATTGGAACCCGTTTGATGCCAACCATTCAAGTCAGTGCTCGCCCTGTGTGCGCCTAATGGAGATGCCACGCGGGAGGCCGAGCTGGGGAGCTCTGCTCCACGTGGTATTTTTCATACTCTCTCCACCTGGTCTCCTCAGGTTCGCGCTGTGACTGCATCTGCCCTCTGGGTTTCCAAGGCCCCGCCTGTGAGGTCACCTCTGGGGAAGGTAAGGAGTCTTTGAGAGTAGGTTGGAAAAGGGGAACTTTGGGGAAGTCCAGAGAACACTTCCAAACAACAAGTCAGCTGGGGATGAGGAGCAGGGGCCTGGACACCATGAACCTTGGATCCACACTGACTCCTTTTGTATTTCATGGATTTTCACAACTGAGAGTTCTTCATGTTTTCAGGATTTATGTGGCATAGCATTCGTAAGTTGGACTTGGAGTCTTCAGGAATGCTTATCCTCTCTCTTTTCCTACTTAGTGAACTCCCAGTCAACCTTCAAAACCCAGCACAGATATTCCTCCTCGGCAAATATCCCTCTAATGCCCCAAGTAGAATTAGTTACTTCCTCCTGTGGTGCCCATGGGGCTTTGGACACATCCATCATAGCTCTTAGCCTCCTGTAGTTGGGGACATGGACTGTTTGTGCCTCTCCCTGTCTCCATGAGTAGGGATTGGAGCCCCTCTATCTGTGTCTCTATGGCCTGGTACAATTGATGCTCAGCGATAACAAGAGAAATTCCATCTGTCTCTCAAATTCTTTCACCAGTTGATTATCTAACAGTTCTCAACCTCTTACTCCTCTCTCACTTTTTTTTTTTAAATTTCTTTATTTTACTTTTTTGATGATACCCTGAAAAATAGACATGGCACATTCAAGGAAAAGAAGAAACACTTATTGAGCATCTACTATGCACTAGGCACTTTGCTGAGAGCCTTTAGTTTGGGTTCAGATTTCATCTCTATTGTTTAATAACTGTGACCTGGAACAAGATACTTGTCTATTCTGTGCCTCATTTCTACATCTGTAAAAGGAATATGATTGCATTAAGTACCTCACAGAGTCATCTTGAATTTATAATGAGGCCTGATAGCACTTAGAATGGTGCCTGATACACTGTCACAGAAAGATAAACATTGGTTTCTTTGTTTCAGGGTTCAAGGTTCCTATGAATACCGAATACATCAAATCTTTTAACCCTTGCAGCCAACCACAAAGTCAAAACAATTGATATGCCCATTTTATTGATGAAGAAACTAAGAGTCAGTGGGTCACTGATCCTACAGGAAATGTGAGGACCTAGGTTCAGCATTGGTGGGTCTGGCACCATAGCTTTTGATGTGAAAGCCTCCCTGTCCCCAACCCACCACCTCCCTGGGGAAAGGCTCAGGAAGTCCTTGCTCTCTTTCTTCCCACCTCAACCAGGTCCCAAGCAATGATCTGCCCATTGAGCACACATCCATACCACAAAGGATTTCTGTTGATTGGAGGAGACCTAGGAAACTACCCACTCCTACTTTCTCATTTTGCATAGGGAGAGGCCCAGAGATATAACGAAATTTACCCAGAATCACACTGCAAGTTAGTGGCAAAGCAGACCTGTGTTACACCACGATGGCAGTTATTGATCATTCACCAGTCTCATCAACAACCCAAAAGTCCTTGCATAGAAGGCAAGTGTCGGAGAGTAGAGAGCACCCACCTTGGCTGTTACCTCATGTAACACACCAGGCTCACAGTAGATAACAGAGCTCCCATTTTTCAGGCTGAGAAGAAATCAACAGCCCAGCAGCCCACAGCTGAGCAGTGTCTGAGCGAAAAACCATTCATTCAAGGTGCACTCAACAAGTGCTCACCCAGAGTCTTCTAGGCCTCCGCCTAGGTGCTGAGGCTCATGGGTGACATGCAGCGATGGCACCATGAGAGGGAAGGTCAACATCGTTTGAATGGTCCCACGAATGCATTTAAAGTTTCTATTGCAATCACTGCTTAGAAACATTCCAAGAGCTTAAAATATGGGAATTGGTGAAGAGTTAGGGGTGGGGAATGGCTTCCTGGGGAAATGCACAGTGTTGAGATCTGAAGGGTGAATAGGGGTCAGGTGAACAGAGGAGGCAAGGGCCCAGGAGGACAGCCTGCGAAGATGCCTGTGGTGAGAGGGAAATCATCACGTACAGCAGCCAGAGATAAAGGCTGAACCTAGGAGGGCGAGACCAGAGACTCTGCTTCCTAAAGGCATTGGCTTCTCCTCCCCACCACACCCCGTAGTGCACCAGAATGTCCTCAGAACTAATGAATGTCAGTTGACCTTCTTTCTTCCAGACATCCCCATTGATGGGAAGTGGAGTTGCTGGTCCCAGTGGTCTCCGTGCTCTGGAGGACATAAAACCAGACAAAGGCAGTGTAACAATCCACTTCCTCAGAATGGGGGCAGCCCCTGCTCAGGCCCAGCTTCCGAAACACTCAGGTGTTAGGGGAGGGAGCGCTTCCAGCAGGTGGCCCAGCTGTGGGCTTCCCACGGGGTGAGCTCTGGACCTCAAGATGCAAGCACTCACCCCACACCAGCTCCCACCAGGCCTGACTGAGGGCAGAAGGAAGGGCCACCCGGGCCTTAGGGTACAAAGTTGATTTGTGAAATGTATTTATGGATTTGAATAAAGAGTGAGTTTAAACCAAAGTCACCGCTCCCTGAAGAAGTAAAGCCTCCTTGAAATCTCACTTTGCCTACTCTGTCATTTTATTTCACTCACCAGCCAGGAACCGTGTAGGGAGTTGTTCACCATGAAGCCCCACCATCTAGCCAAGACTGGCACATAGTAGGTGCCTAATAATTAATCGGTGAATAGCTGTTAAGTTGTTCTTACCTTGACAGATCCACAGTCTTGTCCAACAATACTAACAGCAGCTGGCATTTATTGTTTGACTACTATGTGCCAGCCACTGACTCAGGGATTGATTTAGTCCATCCTCATAAGGCAGATGTTAGTATTAGGCAGCTGGGGAAACCGAGGCTTAGAACAGTTCAGTGACTTCTCTCCAAGTTTCCATAGTTAGAAAGCAGCCGAGCAGGGCTGCAAACTCCAATTCTAAAGCTTAAACTCTTCAGCATAATGCTTACATACTTCTCAGTGAATGAGCATCTGGCTAAAAGAACTTTCTGTGAAATATATAGACATACACACACCGCAGTAGAAAGTACTCTGTGTGTGTGTCCTAAGGAGGAAGAGAGAGAGTGTGTGTTATGGACCAATCTCCAGCAGCTGCCCTCTGAGGAGGGTGAATCTTGATTCCTTGGCCACTCTGATGCTGACCACATCAAGGGTGTGGCCGTACACTTTGGAAGCAGGAACTATGGGCCAGAGTTGAACTGGGATTAATGAAGGAAGAACATGTTGGGTGCCCAGAAAAGATCCTGAGCTAAAGCCAGGGGTCAGGGAAATTGACCACTTCGTGAGAGAGTTAAAAGAGAAGATCATCACAGCAGCTGGAGAAGGAAACATGTCAAGCTGATGTCTGTGGGACCAGGTACAGTGTGGCCCCTCCTCCACCCTCCCCCACAACATTGTCTGAACCTTCTACTT